CACCCGCACACAAAGCGCGGCTCGGACGGTCGCCTGGCCGGAGTCTGCACCCTGCCATGCACATGGAAGTAAACACGCAGGCCCTGAAGCATGGGTCCTTCTTAAAAATTAGACAATGCATGTGTCGAAAGAGCCTGTACAGGTCAGATATCCTTTATCTGAAATGCTGGGAACCAGAAGTGTTTGGGGTTTCAGATTTTGGAATATTTATGGATTAGGCACTGGTTGAGCATCTGAAATCCAAAAATCCAAAATCCAAAATATTCTGGTGAGCATTTCCTTTAAGCATGATGCCAGCGTTCAGGAAGGCTGGGATTTCAGAGCTGTTTGGGGGTTGGATTTTCAGATCTGGGATGCTCAGTCTGTACTCGGTGTTCCTGAAAGAGAGACGTTTATATCCTAAAAGGGTGACTGTTGAAACAAAGTATTGGTTTTACTAAAATGTACAAGCTTCTTAGTAAATATCAGCAGGAAATCAGTATTTTAAAATATGCCGTAAGTCAACATTTGAAGGAAGGGTTTTACAAACTGTGTCTTGTTTGCACGCTGTATGCGATGATACACTGACCGTAATCATGAGGACACACTGCTTTGCTAATGAAAAGACTCAGACCTTTCAAATTCATTGCCTGGAGGTGACATTTTACCATTGACAGGTATTGACTTTTACCGTAGTTTATGTATAATTGTGTTGCCAACAAACCAGTTTTAATATAAACTTAATAAGACTAAAGATTAAATTTACTACTGAAAAATACGTTTTAGGAAAGATGAGACTCGTGAACACATATCATTTGGGAACAGACTGTCAATACTTTGCAGGCATTTTTTCTCTGATGGAATTGATCAGAGCAGCAGGTCACACATGGCGTTTTTATAGGTGACAGTTCAGGTCGGCTTTGATCCCCTCTTCACTGATCTCAGAGAAATGACATTTTATAGCTCCTTTTAAGTACAACGGAAATTGTATGGAGTTACTTGACATTCTTACGTTTTGGAAATTGACAAAAGCAAATCCTGAATGCAGCGGCATGGAGGCTGTGGCTCCTGGGTGGGGGACAGGGTGAGGCCGCAGCCCTAGTGCTGACCGCAAGCCCCTGAGCAGGCGGGCGCTGACCTCTCAGCAGGCTGCCCTGAGCCATGTCCCGGGATTGTCAGCCACCAACAAGGTGGGAACCCGGAGAGAGAGGCTTGACATGAGTTTCCACCAGGTATTTCACTGGCGCGGATGTGGCCATCGGGGATGAAACTAGAACTTTCTTCCCCCGTTTGTTTATGTATGCAGCGGTTTGCCTTGGCTGCCGTGGCAGGGGAGGAGCGCTGTAACCTCCTGCTGCTTCAGTCTCGTGGAGCTCTGTGTCTCACCCTGTGAGGGCGCCGGAGGTCTCCAGTGGCCATAAGGGTTTCACGTCTGGGGTGTCCCCAAGACCTTCTGAGCCCTGCTCATCCCTGGGGCACAGGCTTCAGGACCTCCAGCGGCTTCCGTGGCATCTGAAACACCCTTTTGACAGGGTCTGTTAAGGTTAAATGTATTTGTGTTTTATTTGTTAATGACCAGTCAGCTCTTAGCTGTTAATAAAAGGATATCAGAAGTATCAGATAATGTAATACAGAGAGGCCCAAAGTCTGTCAGATTCCTGTGGAGGCAGCCTTTAAGACTGACACCCTTGATTCCCGTGGGCACAGCTTTGAGACCGACGCCCGTGATTCCCGTGGACACAACCTTTAAGACTGACACCCTTGATTCCCGTGGACACAGCTTTGAGACCGACGCCCTTGATTCCCGTGGACACAACCTTTGAGACCAACACCCTTGATTCCCGTGGACACAACCTTTGAGACCGACGCCCTTGATTCCCGTGGACACAACCTTTGAGACCGACGCCCTTGATTCCCGTGGACACAGCTTTGAGACCGACACCCTTGATTCCCGTGGACACAACCTTTGAGACTGATGCCCTTGCCTTGCGATGCTTGGTTTGGATTGCACCCACTTCCATCTTGAGTTGGTGGAAAAGAGAAAGCCCCAGGAAGTTCCAGAGGCCACAGGGATGGGTACCGTATTTGTAGGGCTTGAACTTTAAAAAATTTGTGGGGACTTTTTATGAAAAAAAAAAATGTAAAACTGCAAATACAGCAACCTAACAACACTTAGAAATGAGTGTGGGCACATAAATATGTCCCAACTAACCCAAAGTGAAAAAACACCACCTCCATTTCCCTGCACCGAGTCTCAGAGCCACCCAAGGCCCCACAGTGGCACCGCTGGACGAGAGGGAGGACCCTGAGTAGAAAGAGGCAGGGACCTCGCAGGAGCAGGGACCCGAGGGCTTTTGCACATCACTGGGGCCCACCACGCCCTGGGCAGGGACCTCACAGGAGCAGGGACCGGAGGGTCCTGGTCATGTCACTGGGGCCCACCACACCCTGGGCAGGGACCCCACAGGAGCAGGGACCTCACAGGAGCAGGGACCGGAGGTTCCTGGTCATGTCACTGGAGCCCACCACGCCCTAGGCAGGGACCTCACAGGAGCAGGGACAGGAGGGCTTTTGCACATCACTGGGGCCCACCACGCCCTGGGCAGGGACCTCACAGGAGCAGGGACCTCACAGGAGCAGGGACCGGAGGGTCCTGGTCATGTCACTGGGGCCCACCACGCCCTGGGCAAGGACCTCACAGGAGCAGGGACTCAGGGCCCTGGCACCTCACTGCGGCCCACCACAGCCTGGGCTCTGTGCAGGTGAGGGCCCCACAGATGAGAAGGACAGCATTTCCCACACTGTCCCACAGAGCAGGAAACACACGTGTGGATAACTGCATGGGTGGCCGTGGGTGTTTTCAGAAGTCACGTCACACACTGAGGTTCTGCATTTATCGACATATAAGAATAAAGAAAGTTGGAACATGACAGCTGGGAAATGAAAACTGGAAGCTAACACAAGACGTAAGGAGCGCACGGGGACCGTTCTGAGGTGAGACTCCTGGACATCAGCAATATGTCGCCTTAGGAAACGGGAACATTTTCTGACCTCCCTACATGAGTTACCCAGGAGTGTCAGATACAACAATATTCCTAGTAAATTGGTTTTCGAGTGACATGAGTGGTGACTGTGAAACAAGTTTCCTTTTAATAGTTGTGGGAAATATTTCTGGAATATTCTACCAGAATGCTGCCTTAGTAATGAGTGCATAATGGGAACACCTGAGCTGCTGCTTCAGTCTGAGGGAGGAGTTCTGAGGCTGGGAGAGCAGAGTGAAATGTTTATTCCTACCACCCATTATTTGCAAAAATTACATGGAATTCAAGACAGCCGGATGATTTCACAAGGGTTCCAATGGCGGTAAATTTGAGATTGCAGTAGTTTTTAAATAAAATATTGTTCTTCCTCTTTGACTGTTTTTCCCCTTTAAAAAAAAGAGTGAAGAGGAAGCAAATGCTACTAAATGGAGAATTTCCTTCCTTCCTTGCTGTTTAATTCTGTTATTCATGTGAATTATGGCAGATTATACATACAGACATTGCTTTGAGTGCACAGCACGGGGGAAGCTGCCCTTCCCCAATTCCCGCAAAAGATCCCCGGTGAGGCCCCTCCGTGGTTCTGTGTAGATTGCTTATATTTTGAATATTTCTCTATAATTCCATTCTGCCTCTAGGCTGAGCCTCCAAAGGGCAACTGTAGATTTTGTATTTAGCTTGAGGTTCAGCACATATGCACACTTAATGACTGTTTTAAATGAATGAATTAAGGAAGAAACAGCAAACCGGTTTCATCAGTTCTAAGGAGAAAATTGTTCCTGTTCCCATGAAAATGAGGTACCTTAATGACTACACACAGATGCATGCGGAAGCTTCTGCTATTCCGAAACGTATAGCCGTGAAGCAGACATTGTGCATTGAAAGCAAGGTCCAGTTTAATGGAGAATAATGTATCTTTCACTCTGTAATGATTTGTGAGAGTCAACCCCACTGAAAATTACGCCTCTGCCATCAGTGAGTCGTCCAACTGTGCCAGCCACTGATGGAGGAAGACTCGGTGTGGGCGCCTGTGAGTTTAGGACCACTAAGGGGGGTGGCAGAGCAGAAGGAATTTGGGGTGTTTCCGAAACTGGGGCCTGGCCACCCAGTTTTCTTGGCAGACAGCATTTATTGACAAAACTGAATCAAGGGTACTGAGAAAAGTTTCAGGAAGCCAGATGGTGCCGGGAGGCAGGGCCAACCCCAGCAAAATGTCACCCAACAGAGAATTTCCATCTCCCTGTGCATGAACCAGGGGCTTCTAAATGTCCTCATGCAGATGGATACCAAGAGGAAGAGTATAAACAGTTAACATGATACATGTGAAGTGCAACGCCCCCTTCCCAAATACCGCTCCGAAATTATTTTTAAAAATCCTGTCTCAAGAAAGTGAAAACAAAAGCAAAGCTGCCTGTCTCCCTCCCTCATCTCTTCCTCCCTTCCTCCCGTTTCTTCCTTCCTCCCTCCCTCCTTCCTTCCCTCCTTCCTCCCTTCCCTCCCTCCTTCCTCCCTTCCCTTCCTTCCCCTTCCCTTCCTTTCCCTTCCCTTCCCTTCCCTTCCCTTCCCTTCCCTTCCCTTCCCTTCCCTTCTTCCTTCTTTTCTCATTCCTTCCTCTTTCCCTTTTTAAAAAATAATAACTTTTGATGGAGGGCTGCTGAGTTGATTCATTCCAGAAAAATGGATTGGCTGCTTTTAGGATGTTTGAACACAACATCTGTTTTGGTTTGTGAGTCTATCGTGGCTGTATCCAGAAACAGAATATTCAAACTAACAAAAAATGTAGTTGAATCAAATCACTTTTCTAAGCAGTGGCAACGAGCAAGTGTGTAATTTAGTAACCAAAATATTCAAAATGGTGAACTGAAGTTATAACATTCAGTCACAGAATTCCCCCTGCAGCAGGGCAGGTCCGTTTGAAGACTGTCTCCAGAGCAAGCCTGGAAAGTCAGAAGCTGACTCCTCTAGCGCCAGAGACACGGGAATATTTAGGGGCCTCGGAGGGAAAATCCACATCCCTAGAAACAGGGTCAGGTGCGTCGGGACCTCATTTCCTAGAGAGGAACTGTGGTTGAGAAAGAGTGGAGCCGGAGTTCCAATGCAGACCCCATCACACTTTAACTGTTGAAACCTGAGTTGGCCCAGGAGAAATTATAAAAATTAATATGGCCTCCCTGGATGGTTTTAAAGACATCTGGCACCAGATTAAGCTCCTGAGTCTCTGACTAGCTCTCTTGTCTCTGTTTCTCTCTCTCTTCCTCTGTCTCTCTCTCCTTCTCCTCCTACTGTTCTGGTGCAGGGTCCTCAGAGGCTCCTTTCCTGCTGGCTCCTTTCCGCCTGTCTGAGCACAATGGCCAGGTTAAAAGGAACAGCCAGGAAAACAGGAAAAAGCTGTCCATGGGGAGAGTGCAGGGAAGAAAATATAATTGCTTTTCTTTCCCCCATGTGTTCTTAGTTCTGACAGTTTCGTATAAACAAAAGTCTGATTAAGAAGAAAATACAGCAGAGGGTTATTAATGAGTGCTGTACCCACCGTGTGGGAGAGGCCTCAAAGTTTCTCTCTCTAACTGGGAGAGGCAGTTAGTTGCTTGGGGACTGTGCTCACATAGTATTTTCACAAAGAATGGCAAACCCTGTATAGTGACTAAATAAAGAATAGAGCATTTTCAGGCTTCCAAAAAGGGGAAAATGTGGGAAGTGAATTTATGGGAAGAGTAAAATCTGCTCCTAGAGCCTCTGGTGCCACTGTCGCTGAGCAGATAAACAGGTGTTGTGAGGGGCCTCTCCTCAGGTGGGAAAGGAGGAGGGAGGCGGGGAAGCTCTGTCTTCGTACACTGCTGTCCCGCCATCAGGCTAGTCGAGGACGGGGCAATGTCCCTAGCATTTTCACCTTCTTCAGCTCAACAGTTCTCGGTATTTTCGAGAGGAATCTTTTGGTTTTCTTCAGTAAAAAGGATTACACATGGGTTCCCTAAACGGTCAAAAACAATACAAATAATTCAAATTAATTCTTACAAATATTTATCTCCTAAGCTAAATGCATCCTCTGAGGAGAGGAATTCCTTGGTGGTCTAAAGAATTTCCATGGTGTTTCAAATCTGATCTCAGCTGATATACTGCCTAGCTGATTCCCTGGATGAGACCGCCACAAAGACATGATAAGGTTTACATCTCCAAGGAACTGGGAACAAAGCCTGGAGTTCCTTTTTGTAATCTGTGCAGCAAGGTGGAGCAGGCAGTCTTCCCATTCACAGGGTCTGTTGAGAAGTCAAACGAAAACTCTGAAAAACAAAAATTGAAGTCTCTTATTATCAGATTTCAGCTGGGACAGAAAGTATGTCTCCCATTCAGTTAGTCTGGTTCCACAGCCTGCCTTGCTTTTTAAAATTTTGCATGCAAACATATTAATTTAAGAATTTTAGAAGACTTTGATTGTGGCCATTCTTGTTTTGGGGTCATCTTGAGTCACATTTACATAGGTATTTTCAAGACAGAGCTCCATAAGTCCAGCTGGTGTCTCCAATGGGGTGCCCCTTGAAGGAGAACTGCTTTGCTGAGCAGTGTCCCATAATTTTAGCAATTCCTTTTCAAATGTGACCAAGGCTGGCATAATCTATCAGGTCGACAGGAGCATCATTCCTTAGGCTGTCACCAGGGAGTTGTGACTTTTCCTCAGGTTGTCACCAGGGAGTTGTGACTTTTCCTCAGGTTGTCACCAGGGAGTTGTGACTTGCATCCATATGTTTCAGAAGCTCCCATCACCTTGGGGCAGCAGAGTGACCAGTTCTTTACTTACCTTTCCGAAAGCAAGAGTCCCTGAAATGTTCTTCCAGCGTGGGATGCTCTGCGAGACCATATTGTGTCCTGGACAACATTCCCAAAACCTTTCTAATCCCCTAGAGCACCCATGTGGGCCAGAGCTGCAGCTCTCTCTTCTCTTCAGGGAAGGGAACTCACTGTCATTCAGGTTTCAGTTTGGAATTAACAGAAATTGGTCCCAAATGAAAAGACAGGTCCTAATTACAAACACTAGGAAGCAGCTGCAATTTTAAAAATGTGCTGTGTAATTTTGGGCCAAAAGAAGTGAAACCACTGGTACCAGACGGGAATACTGTAAACCAGACCGTCTGCTGTCAGCTGAGTCCATTGGCTTAGTCTCTTTTTTTTTTTAGACAGAGTTTCGCTCTTGTTACCCAGGCTGGAGTGCAATGGCGCGATCTCGGCTCACCGCAACCTGCGCCTCCTGGGTTCAGGCAATTCTCCTGCCTCAGCCTCCCGAGTAGCTGGGATTACAGGCACGTGCCACCATGGCCAGCTAATTTTTTGTATCTTTAGTAGAGACGGGGTTTCACCATGTTGACCAGGATGGTCTTGATCTCTTGACCTCGTGATCCACCCGCCTCAGCCTTCCAAAGTGCTGGGATTACAGGCACGCGCCACTGTGCCCAGCTAATTTTTTGTATTTTTAGTAGAGATGGGGTTTCACCATGTTGACCAGGATGGTCTTGATCTCTTGACCTCGTGATCCACCCGCCTCGGCCTCCCAAAGTCTTAATAACTTCACAACTATCCGGGGGTGGGGAATGTGGGAAATAACTTCTGGGAATGACTTGGAACCGGGGTCCTTGACTTTATTCCTTCCTTGCCTGGTGGTCTTTATTGCTAAGTTGAGTAAGATGAGCCTTATGAAGCTTGTGCGTCTGAGAGCCCCACCCACTGGAATTCTAGTTCCTGACCTTGTCTGAGGCACACTTTGGAGGATCTCCATGCGACCTTGCATGCTCTCAGCCTGGTTGCACGTTCAGGCTGTCGGTGGCTCAGTGGATGGTGTGTGGCCTCGGCCTCAGCCTGGCATCTCTGTGGCTGTGAAGTCATCATTTTCCTACTTTAAGGAGTAAATGTTTGATAAGTCTGCCAGATACTCAGCTGTCTCAGTGGTGCTCAAGAACTTTAGAGTCTCTCATTGCATGCTCAGAACAATGCACACTCCTGGGTGGGGTGCCAGGAAGGCCTGCAGTTCATGCCCTAGCGGGGTTTCCAGCTTCATGACATAACTCAGCCTGGGGCCTGGAAAGCAGAACTTGGACGTAAGCACGTTAGCTCCTATGGGGCTTTGGTTGAATTAATTTCAGGCCTTTGAAAGAGGAGAGTAAGTGTCGCTCTGTAAACGGAGGTCTGGAAGGAGGTCACCCTGCAACACGGCTGGCCCGCATACACGTGCAGATGTGTTAGGAAAGCTACCAGATGTCCACTGATTTATGCTTACCCATTGTGCTGATGTCTATGGTGCTTCCTGCAGGGGTCTGGCAATTTATAAATCACAGATTTTTCCAGCAAGGACAGATGGGTGCTGTTTCTGCACATGTGCTTTGAAATTTGAGCACATTGTCATTTGCTGGCACCGATGACCTGAGTGAAGTCTGAGGTTTTGGCTCAGAGAAGCACGATTAATGTTGATAATGGTAAGGAAACAGCGTTGGCGGAACTGTATTTTCTTAAATGAGGAAACAGAACTATAAATGTCAACATGCTTCCAAAAAAAGATACATGAAGTTTTTTCAGCTGTCATTATTGGAAAAGAAAAAGAAAAGACAAAAGCTAATGGGCCTTGCGAAAGCAAATGGTATTTTGAGTGAAGAGGGACATGATTAACTTGAATTGGTGCCTGTCTTTCATGGTTTTGTTAATTATTTGCAAGACAAAATTATCCGAAAATGTCTTCCCAATTCCTTCATATATTTATTATGACTTTTACTCTCAATGTCAAGTTTGAAATTAGTAAAATGCTCTACCATCTCCTCACGAAATTGACCTTGTTTGGGCAGCAAGTATAGGAGTTATTTCTCTTTGTCAGAACTTGGAAATTTCCAAATAAAGTATTTACACAAGCAGAAGAAAGCAGGCTGACAGTTCTTTTAATTTCCTTGCTTTCCCTCTCTTAATATATGTCCACCTGACTCCAGAGCTACAGCAAATTGCAAGGACCACGCTTTGTGAAAACAGCTTTCCAAAGAGCAGGCATTCATCTTTAAAATATGTCTCAGGAGGCCCAGGAAGAGGCAAGAGTGATAGATTCAGAGTTCTTTGCAGAAATCAGGTGTTTTTAACCTTCTGGCAAGATAATAATGCTGAGGGTTCATATAAATAAAATTTATGAAGTTATTGCATTATTTGCTGAAGGAGAAAAGGTGGTTTAAAAACCTGAGTCAAACAGCCAAGGGAAAGAATCGCAGGAGGTGAACCAAGGAGTCACCTGTGGCAGTTACGGAGAGCACCACGGAGGAAGGCAGGTCTTGAATCTAACCCGGTGAACCTGCATGGGTAGGAGAAAGAAGCAGTTGACCCAGCAACTTCCAGACAAGGCTGGAGGTACACGGGGTGTGAACGGAGCAGTCCGCTCTCATCTTCAGGCTCAGCGCGTCCAGCCTGGCTCAGCAGCCTGGGTCTGTTTCCGCCATTCTGCCTCATTTACACTGTTTACCCTGGCAGCCTTCATCCCACTGCTCTGGGGTGTCTCTGACCTGGTTGTTCCCAGAATGCCAGCCCCAGTGGTGGGATGCTCGCCCCACCCTCTCTGCCAGCCCACATGGCCCTTTCCTCCTCACTGACCTGCCCTCACCATCTCCTGGACTCCTGCAGCCCCTCCCAAGGGAAACTCCTGCACTCAGTCTTTCCCTCCTGTCCCATGCTGGGCAGCCGTCCTCAACCCTCCTGTCCCATGCTGGGCAGCCGCCCTCAACCCTCCTGTCCCATGCTGGGCAGCCGTCCCCAACCCTCCTGTCCCATGCTGGGCAGCCGTCCCCAACCCTCCTGTCCCATGCTGGGCAGCCGTCCCCAACCCTCCTGTCCCATGCTGGGCAGCCGCCCTCAACCCTCCTGTCCCATGCTGGGCAGCCGTCCTCAACCCTCCTGTCCCATGCTGGGCAGCTGTCCTCAACCCTCCTGTCCCATGCTGGGCAGCCGTCCTCAACCCTCCTGTCCCATGCTGGGCGGCCGTCCTCAACCCTCCTGTCCCATGCTGGGCGGCCGTCCTCAACCCTCCTGTCCCATGCTGGGCGGCCGTCCTCAACCCTCCTGTCCCATGCTGGGCGGCCGTCCCCAACCCTCCTGTCCCATGCTGGGCAGCCATCCTCAACCCACAGACATGATGGGTGTCTCCCAGGGAGCCAGGAGGTCCTGGCCCTGCAGAGTGGCACTGGCAGAGTCCCCTCTCTGACAGTCTCTGCACACCCCCCACAGGGCTACCATGGCTTTCCAATTCACTACACTCCTGCCTCAGTTCCTGTCTTTTCCTGGAACCTCCTCCACCCCCACCATGCCCTACTGTAAAAATCATTTACTCCTCCAAAGTGCAATGAAAACGACAAGTTACAACCAAAGCCATCTTCTGCTCAATCCTCCTGGCACCGTTACCTTCCTGACTGGTTTGGGGTGCAGGCCTCTCCTCTGCTCCCCTCTGCTCCTTTCAGCTGGATGCCAGCCCCTCTGCCCATGAGCTTCTGGGCTGGGATGCAGGCCCCACTGCCCATCAGTTGCTGGCCTGGGATGCGGACCCCTCTGCCCCTGAGCTTCTGGGCTGCATGAGGCTGGGCCTGTGTAGGCCTCCCCCCAGCAGCTGTGCTCTGTGTCAGGGTGGAGCACACAGTTTAGTGACCCTGTGAGTGTCAAGTGGAGCCTGAGATTCTGCCTGTCCAGCAGGCTCCCAGGAAATGCTGTCTCTGCAGAATCACTCTCCATAAAGCTTATGAGTTTATTATTGGGTGTTTCATAATACGGCGATCTCATAGTGTCAAGGTTCTGAAATCCCCAGTAAGTGAAACAGCAGGTCCCATCGGGCAAAGGGTCAGATCCAGCTTCAAGTGCCAGGTTTGCAAGAAATTGGCCTTGTCACCCTGTACAGGCTACTTAAATCTCTATTTTCTCATTTGAAAAATGAGGATTCCATCACCTACATTGTATTTTACCTTAACTTTGAGGCTAAGGGTGCCTTATTTGACAATGTCTGTTGGGTGTCCCTCTTTTCATTGGCCACCTCATTAATCACAGCAGCTCTGGGGGGTTTGGGGGGGTCCCTGCTTCACAGACAGAGACTTCGCCTCCGAGCTGCACACAGTGGCCCGGCGTGTTCTTGTGCTGCATCTGGTTCACACCACTCAGAAATCCACATGGTGCATTTTCAGAAAAGGTTCCAGCCATTATAGGAAACCACTGGGAGCTTGAAACTGGCTGTGGCGGGAGCTGGTACACCTCAGCAATGAGCAAAGATCAGGCCCCCTCCACCCCAGGGACAACCAGGTCACTGGCACACCCCCTCCTGCCCACAGAACCAGTGGGTGGAAGGAGGACGACCTGAGCTCCCTGGTGTGTCTTCATATGTGAGGGCTCCAGCCTCATACTATAAGCAGAAGGAAGTGCTGGGGCCCTGGCTTGGGCTCGCTGCAGCACTGCAGATGTGGAACTGAGGTCCAGGTGTGGCTGGTCCTCAGGATAGTGCATTCCATCCTATACTTCCTGGGCTTTTTCTAAGGCATATTACAAAGCATCCTCACTTTGTCCAGGTATTCATTTGTGTATTGAACAGCCATCTCTTCCAAGTCTTGCTTGGAGGGCCAAGTCCCCATTGCCACCCCCTTGAATTGAGGGGGCCGCTAGTGGCAGAGGAGTGGCCACCTGTGACATGCAGCCTGTGTTTGGATTGCTGTGGCCCAGTGGAGGTGGTTCTCATAAATGCTGGTCGACTTCGCCTTTGCCCCCTTTCCCATAGGGCCTTTAGGTAACGATTGGGAAAACTAAAAACCCAGGATGGCCGCTCATCAGAGGGTCCAGACATCTCAAGATGCTTTATGACAAATATCCAGCAGTTTGTGCCCTGATATGGAAAGTGGGACATGGAGGAAGGAGGTACGATTTCCACTGGAGGAGACTGATTGAGGACATGGGGAAATATTTGCATCTATACATTGATTGAAAGTGTCACTCTGGTGATAGATAGGGCACACCTGCGCGTAAAAGGTGGGAAAGAAAAAACGTTTTCTCAAGTGATGGGTGACCTCGTCATTCACATTTTGACAGCACAGGATACAGCCTCGTGGCGTCCTGAAAGTTTTACCTAATTAAGGAAAAATTCAGGGTGTTAAAGCACTCAACTGTTGAAAACTGCCAAGATGTGGAACATGTTTAAACTCATTGTTTCAGCCACCATTAAATATTTAAAAATTTTAATTTTTTATACACATTTAGGGCAAATGGAGTTTCTGCTTCTAGGTCCTTGAGGAATCGCCACACTGTCTTCCACAATGGTTGAACTAATTTACACTCCCACCAACAGTGTAAAAGTCTTCCTTTTTCTCCACATCCTCTCCAGCATCTGTTGTCTCCAGATTTTTTAATGATCGCCATTCTAACTGGCGTGAGATGGTATCTCAATGTGGTTTGATTTGCATTTCTCTAATGACCAGTGATGATGAGCATTTTTTCATATGTTTGTTGGCCTCGTGTGTGTCTTCTTTTGTAAAGTGTCTGTTCATATCCTTTGCCCACTTTTGAATCGGCTTGTTTTTTTCTTGTAAATCTGTTTGAGTTCTTTGTAAATTCTGGATATCAGCCCTTTGTCAGATGGGTAAACTGCAAAAATTTTTTCCCATTCTGTTGGTTGCCGATTCACTCTAATGACTGTTTCTTTTGCCGTGCAGAAGCTGTGGAGTTTGATTAGGTCCCATTTGTCTATTTTGGCTTTTGTTGCCAATGCTTTTGGTGTCTTGGTCATGAAGTCCTTGCCTACTCCTATGTCCTGAATGGTTTTGCCTAGATTTTCTTCTAGGGTTTTTATGGTGTTAGGTCTTATGTTTAAGTCTTTAATTCATCTGGAGTTAATTTTAGTGTAAGGTGTCAGGAAGGGGTCCAGTTTCTGCTTTCTGCACATGGCTAGCCAGTTTTCCCAACACCATTTATTAAACAGGGACTCCTTTCCCCATTGCTTGTTTTTATCGGGTTTATCAAAGACTGTATGGTTGTAGATATGTTGTGTTGCCTCCAAGGCCTCTGTTCTGTTCCATTCGTCTGTATCTCTGTATCCCATTACTGGGTATATATCCAAAGGATTATAAATCGTTCTACTATAAGGGCACATGCACACGAATGTTCATTGCAGCACTGTTTACAATAGCAAAGACCTGGAATCAACCCAAATGCCCATCGATGATAGACTGGACAGGGAAAATGTGGCACATATATACCATAGAATATTATGCAGCCATCAAAAATGATGAGTTCATGTCCTTTGTAGGGACATGGATGAACCTGGAGACCATCATTCTCAGCAAACTGACAGAAGAACAGAAAATGAAATGCCGCATGTTCTCACTCATAGGCAGGTGTTGAACAATGAGAACTTGTGGACACAGGGAGGGGAGCATCACACACCGGTGTCTGTTGGGGGGAAAGAGGAGGGACAGGGGCAGGTGGGGAGTTGGGGAGAGATAACATGGGGAGAAATGCCAGATATAGGTGATGGGGAGGAAGGTAGCACATCACACTGCCACGTGTGTACCTATGCAACAATCCTGCATGTTCTTCACATACACCCCCAAAACCTAAAATGCAATAATAATAATAAAAAATCTAGGGCATTAGGACAAGTATATTGCAGAGGAAAGCGATGGGGCGGTAGGAGTTGGGGGTGGGGGAGGTGGAAGAGCCCGGGCCGGACTTGGGGGCTGGGTGTCCCGTGGCGGAGCCGCTCCCTGAGCTCCCTCGTGAGGTTTTCTCGTCTGTAAAGTGATAACGAAACGTTTCTGTGGCGGAGGTGGCAGAAGCCCGGCCTGAGCCCCCGAGGCCCCGCGTTTGTCATGTTTCCACCTGAAGGGCGTCGCCCTTTGCGAATGCGTCGGGCTGGAGTGACGTGTGACAAGAGAAAACCCTGGGCCTTTGCGGCAGATGATATCCCGCTTTTTCAGGGATGGCGAGTGTCTCCGGGCAGACGTCTCGGGCAGTGGGGTCGGAGAGCGGGCGGAAGTTCTTCCGGGTCACACAACCTCGGGCCGACTTCCGGCTTCCGGCCTCCACTTCCTCCTGTGTGAAACGGGAATGAATCGTCAGCCTTGAAGTGTTGCTCCCAGACTAAGTAAGGTAACGGAAGCCGGGCCCTGCCCAGCGCTGCAAAACGTTTCACCGGGTGGTTCTCATTCTTTACCTCAGCGTTGGTGCTGCTCGTACCGTTCCCGGTGACCTGGGCGGTCATGCATCTTTCCGGTTTTCAAACTTGTCTGTGTGTGGCAGGAAGCACGTGACGTGCGAGTCCCTCTTTTCAGTATCCAGGCGGAGGTCAGGGGTGTCAGTCACCCAGGCTGGAGTGCAATGGCGCGATCTCGGCTCACTGCAACCTCCGCCTCCTGGGTTCAGGCAATTCTCCTGCCTCAGCCTCCTGAGTAGCTGGGATTACAGGCACGTACCACCATGCCCAGCTAATTTTTTGTATTTTTAGTAGAGATGGGGTTTCACCATGTTGACCAGGATGGTCTCGATCTCTTGACCTCGTGATCCACCCGCCTCGGCCTCCCACAGTGCTGGGATTACAGGCCTGAGCCACCGCACCCGGCCCCCCTGCCACCTTTTTATCTCACACGACGGGAACCACACGCCTGGAGCGCCAACTCCTGCATCCCCAGCTCCAGCCGCGGGTTACTCTCCCTCCGGAGAGACTGAGCCTTTTAGCTTCCGTGTGTGAGTGAGAGAATGCAGACTTTGTCCTGCTGTGGCTCATTTCACTTACCGCCGTGTCTTCCGGCTTCATTCAGCCATCGCTTCTTCCTGCTGACTGACGTTTAGGCTGTTTCCATGTCCCGGCTATTGTGAGTAGTGGTGTCAGGAACGTGGGGGTGCAGGTCTCTCTTGGAGACGCTGATTCCTTTCCCCTTGGATGCATTCCTAGAAGTGGGATTGCTGAATCATCTCGTGGTTGCATTTTAATTTTTTTGAGAAACCCCCATACTGTTCATAGCGTCTGTACCAATTTACCTTTTTCTACCAACAGTGTGCTAGAGTTGCAGCTTCTCCACATCATTGTCAACACGTTATATTCTATACATGTATGTGTTTTCACAGCAGTCATCCTGATGGGTGTGAGGTAGGGTCTCGGTGTGATTTTGGTTTGCATTTCCCTAATGACTGGTGATGGGAACACGTTTTACATGTTTGACGGCCACTTGCATGTCATTTTTAGAGAAATATCTATTCAAGTCTTGAGTATTTTGAAAATCAGCTTGTTTTTCGCTATTGAGGTGTAGGAGTTATTTATATATATTAGACATTAACCCCTGATTAAATATATGGTTTGTAAGTATTTTCTCTCATGCCATAGGTTGCGTTTTCACTCTTTTGATTGTTTCTTCCATGGCACAGAGAAGCTTCTCAGTTGACGTGGTCCCACATGTCTACTTTTGCTGTTGTCTGTGCTACTGTGTCATCCATGAAAATCATTGCCAAAATCAATGTAATGAATATTTTTCCCTGTTTTCTTCTAAAATGTTTATAGTTTCAGGTCTTATGTTTAAGTCTTTAATCTATTTTGAGTTGATTTTTCTGTATGGTACAAGATAAAGGTCCAATTTTATTCATTTGCATCTGAATATCCAGTCCTCACAGCACTATTTGTTGAAGAGACTGACCTTTCCTCACTGTGTAGCACTGGCCCTGTTGTGGAAAACACCTGATCATGTAGGTTTGAGTATGTTTCTGGGCTCTCTATTCTGTTCCGATGGTTTATATGTCTGTGTTTACTACCACATCATTGATTACCGTGGCTTTGTAATATGTTCCAGAGTAAGGAAGTGAGATGCCTCCAACTTTGTTTTTTCTCGAGATTGCCCTGTCTATTCAGGATTTTTTGTGGTTTTATATAAATTTTAGGATTTCTTTTTCTGTCGGTAAAAATGTCATTGAGATTTTGATGGAGATTGCATTGAATCTGTAGATCATTTTGTGTAGTATACACATTTTAACAATATTAAGACTTATAATTCATTAACGTGGCATATTTTTCTATTGTGTCTAATTTTTTTCAAAAGTGAATTGTCATTTTCAGTGTACAGGTCTTTTTGCCTCCTTGGTTAAGTTTATTCTTAAGTATTTTACTTGTTTTGATGCTATTGTAAGTGGGGTTTTTCCCTTAATATCCACTTTGGATTGTCTGTTATAGTGTATAGAAATGCAACTGTTTTTTCTATATATATTTTGTCCTCTGAAAGTTGGCTGAATTTCTTTATTCTAACTCTTTAGTGGAATCTTTAGGGTTATCTACATATAAGATTATGTTTCTATAGTGATCATTTTATGTCTACATTTTCCAATTTTTTTTGTATTTTATTTCTTTTGTTGAGCAATTCCTATGGCTAGGATGTCTAGCACTGTGTTGAATAGAAGGGGCAAGAGTGGGCATAATCTTAGAAAAAAAGACTTCCGGATCTCACAACGGAGTTGATGTTAGTCATGGACTTTTCACGTAGGGCCTTTGTTGCATTCAGGTAATTGTATTCTCTTCCTACTTTTTAGTATTTTTATAATGAAAGACTGCTGAGTTTTGTTGAATGTTTTTTATCCCTATATCCCACTTATTTATAGTGTATGATTCGTTTAATGTGCTGTTGAATTCAGTTGACTAGTAGTGCCTTTGATTGCTTTATTATAAGGGTAATTGTGGCCTTACATGAAGGTTTGGAAGTGTTCTGTCCTCTTCAATTTTTGAAAGAGCTTGAGAAAGATTGGTGTTAATTTTTCTTTAAATGTGCAGTAGAATTCCCCAGGGAAGCCATCTGTTCCTCATTTTCCTTTTGTTGGGATGTTTTTGATTACTGATTCACTCTCCTTCCTAGTTAGTGGTATCTTTAGATTGTCAGTTTCCTCATGATTGACTGGTAGTTATATGTTTCTAGGAACTTATCCATTTTTTCTAGGTTCTCTAATTTGTTGGTATAAAATCATTCCCAGTAGTCTCATTTTGTTTTTTTACTTCTGAGGCATCATTTATGTCTTCTCTCATTTCTGACTGTGTTTTCTATTTTTGTCTTAGTTGTATTGAGTTTGAACTTCTATTTAAAAAAAAAAAATACCATGCATTGTAGGTATAAACAACAGACATTTGTTTCTTATACTTTTGGAAGCTGTGAAATCAAAGATCAAGGTGCAGGTAGATTCAGTTCCTAAGAATGGATTTATTTCTGTCTTGAAGATGCTCACCTTTTTCCTGTGTCCTCACATGCAGAGCGAGTGAGCTCTCAGGTCTCCTCTCCTCTACTTATAAATACTCTAATTCCAATAGGGGACCCCACCCTCGTACCCTTATATAAATCTAATTATCTCCTAAAGGTCTTACTTCACATATGATTTTATTGTAGTTTAGGACATCAACATATGCACTTTGGGTGAACAAACATTCAGTCCATAACATTAGTCTAGCTAAATATCCTTGATCTTTTCAAAAACCAACTCTTAGTTTTATTGAGTTTTGCTATTATTTTTATGTTCTGTTTCATTTATTTCTGCTCCAATCTTTTTTTTTTTTTTTTCTATTAACTTTGGACTTAGTTTGACCTTATCTAGTTTCTTGAGGCATAAAGTTATTTGGTTTATTTGAAATCTTTTTCAGCGTAGGTGTTTACCACAATAAACTTCCCTCTTGGTCCTGTGTTTGGTTGCGGTCACAAGGAGGTTGAGGGTAGCTCCCAGCCTGTTGGGACCCAACTTGCTTCAGTGTTCTTTGTGTGTCCCGGTGTGGGGTGTTCCATGTTGAATTCCTCTTCTGGCAGGCGGGTTTGCTCTCTCTCCACTTGGTGTTAATGGTATCAGAACAAGCTTCAGGTATTCACTTCTCACAGCTGGTCACACCAAAGTAAACATCTCAGCCTCCCTTTCCCTGTCATCCATACCAAGCTCCCACTGGGCTCTGGCTGCTCCACCTGGGTCCTAAATCCATTGCAAGAGAGGAGCAGTTTCTAAAAGAAAGGGGTGCAGGGCTGGGCACAGTGCTGAAGCCTGTAATCCCAGCACTTTGGGAGGCCGAGGCAGGTGGCTCACGAGGTCAAGAGATCGGGACCATCCTGGTCAACATGGTGGAACCCCGTCTCTACTAAAAATACAAAAAATTAGCTGGGCATGGTGGTACGTGCCTGTAATCCCAGCTACTCAGGAGGCTGAGGCAGGAGAATTGCCTGAACCCAGGAGGCGGAGGTTGCGGTGAGCTGAGATCGCGCCATTGCACTCCAGCCTGGGTAACAAGAGTGAAACTCCATCTCCAAAAAAAAAAAGAAAAAGAAAAAGGGGTACAGAGAGGACCGGGGACAGACCGAAGGGACTTCATACTGTCAGGGAGGTCTGAAGTCAGTTTTGAGATGTCACGTCTTTGGGTTATAAAAAAAGTGGCTCAGAAAAGCTAAGATGGGTGTTGCTGGGGAGGGAGGGCTTCACCTGGTGATGTACGGCCTCCACTCCTGCCTGGGGCGCAGTTCTCCACCCCCTCATCAGCCATGGAATGAAAACCCAAGATTCCTGCCTTTCCACATGCTTAAAGGAGCATGACCTGTGGCCGGAGTGTGCCTTGCTGTTCTTCTAGAAAATGATTTATCTTTCTTTCTGGTGTCATCTCAGCAGTTTAGAATATGCTAGAATTTTGGTGAGGTTTAGCAAATAGGATGTCAATCAATTAACAGTCATCTTTAAAAAATTTTGTTGCTCTTCCTTTTATTGAATTTTCTTATGCCAACAAAGAAGAGAGACAACCTCAGAAGATGCACTTAGAGCTTCCTTTCTGCCAACACAACAGGGTGGCAGGACGGTGGAGGTTCACATTTTACCTTCAGAAGCAGGAACATGACTTTCCCCAGTCACCGAATAACTTCTAAAAACAGTTTCTTTTTTTTTTTTTTTTTTTTTTTTTTTGAGATGGAGTCTCTGCTCTGCCACCAGGCTGGAGTGCAATGGCGCGATCTCAGCTCACCGCAACCTCCGTCTCCTGGGTTCAGGCAATTCTCCTGCCTCAGCCTCCTGAGTAGCTGGGACTGCAGGTGCACAGCACCACGCCCAGCTAATGTGTGTGTTTTTAGTAGAAACGG